AAGTCTGGTCCAAAGGAATCAAGTGGCTCCAATTCCTTGGATCAAGACCCCTCACCAGCATCAAGGCACATTAGAATGTATGTTGTATTAGTGTGTATGAAGTCATATACTAGTATATCAAAGGTTAAAAGGTCACTGTAGGCAGCAATGTTGGTCACTAACCCTTAACATTTAAGAGATAAACACTGTATTCATCTGTATATATGCTCAAGTGCATATACATTATATACATGGTATATACACTGAAGTGTATGCACCGAGGTGTACACTCAATGAGATGCAAGTATACAAGAGTATGTGCAAGTATACATGAGTAAGTGCAAGTATACACGAGTATGTGCAAGTATACACGAGTATGTGCAAGTATACACGAGTATGTGCAAGTATACACGAGTATGTGCAAGTATACACGAGTATGTGCAAGTATACACGAGTATGTGCAAGTATACACGAGTATGTGCAATGAAGTATACACAAGTATGTGCAATGAAGTATACACGAGTATGTGCAATGAAGTATACACTAGTATGTGCATGGAAGTATACACTAGTATGTGCATGGAAGTATACACTAGTATGTGCATGGAAGTATACACTAGTATGTGCATGGAAGTATACACTAGTATGTGCATGGAAGTATACACTAGTATGTGCATGGAAGTATACACTAGTATGTGCAATGAAGTATACACTAGTATGTGCAATGAAGTATACACAAGTATGTGCAATGAAGTATACACGAGTATGTGCATGGAAGTATACACTAGTATGTGCATGGAAGTATACACTAGTATGTGCATGGAAGTATACACTAGTATGTGCATGGAAGTATACACTAGTATGTGCATGGAAGTATACACTAGTATGTGCAATGAAGTATACACTAGTATGTGCATGGAAGTATACACTAGTATGTGCATGGAAGTATACACTAGTATGTGCATGGAAGTATACACAAGTATGTGCAATGAAGTATACACGAGTATGTGCATGGAAGTATACACTAGTATGTGCATGGAAGTATACACTAGTATGTGCAATGAAGTATACACAAGTATGTGCAATGAAGTATACACGAGTATGTGCATGGAAGTATACACTAGTATGTGCATGGAAGTATACACTAGTATGTGCAATGAAGTATACACTAGTATGTGCAATGAAGTATACACGAGTATATACACTGAAGTATACAAGAGTATATACACTGAAGTATACAAGAGCATATACACTGAAGTATACAAGAGTATATACACTGAAGTATACAAGAGTATATACACTGAAGTATACAAGAGTATATACACTGAAGTATACAAGAGTATATACACTGAAGTATACAAGAGTATATACACTGGTGTATACAAGAGCATATACACTGAAGTATACAAGAGTATATACACTGGTGTATACAAGAGTATATACACTGAAGTATACAAGAGTATATACACTGAAGTATACAAGAGTATATACACTGGTGTATACAAGAGTATATACACTGGTGTATACAAGAGTATATACACTGGTGTATACAAGAGTATATACACTGGTGTATACAAGAGTATATACACTGGTGTATACAAGAGTATATACACTGGTGTATACAAGAGCATATACACTGAAGTATACAAGAGTATATACACTGGTGTATACAAGAGCATATACACTGAAGTATACAAGAGTATATACACTGGTGTATACAAGAGCATATACACTGAAGTATACAAGAGTATATACACTGAAGTATACAAGAGTATATACACTGAAGTATGCAAGAGTATATACACTGAAGTATACAAGAGTATATACACTGAAGTATACAAGAGTATATACACTGAAGTATACAAGAGTATATACACTGAAGTATACAAGAGTATATACACTTGTGTATACAAGAGTATATACACTGAAGTATACAAGAGTATATACACTGGTGTATACAAGAGTATATACACTGGTGTATACAAGAGTATATACACTGAAGTATACAAGAGTATATACACTGGTGTATACAAGAGTATATACACTGGTGTGTACAAGAGTATATACACTGAAGTATACAAGAGTATATACACTGGTGTATACAAGAGTATATACACTGAAGTATACAAGAGTATATACACTGAAGTATACAAGAGCATATACACTGGTGTATACAAGAGTATATACACTGGTGTATACAAGAGTATATACACTGAAGTATACAAGAGTATATACACTGAAGTATACAAGAGTATATACACTGAAGTATACAAGAGCATATACACTGGTGTATACAAGAGTATATACACTGAAGTATACAAGAGTATATACACTGGTGTATACAAGAGTATATACACTGAAGTATACAAGAGTATATACACTGAAGTATACAAGAGTATATACACTAAAGTATACAAGAGTATATACACTGAAGTATACACGAGTATATACACTGGTGTATACAAGAGTATATACACTGAAGTATACAAGAGTATATACACTGGTGTATACAAGAGTATATACACTGGTGTATACAAGAGTATATACACTGAAGTATACAAGAGTATATACACTGAAGTATACACGAGTATATACACTGGTGTATACAAGAGTATATACACTGGTGTATACAAGAGTATATACACTGGTGTATACAAGAGTATATACACTGGTGTATACAAGAGTATATACACTGGTGTATACAAGAGTATATACACTGAAGTATACAAGAGTATATACACTGAAGTATACAAGAGCATATACACTGAAGTATACAAGAGTATATACACTGGTGTATACAAGAGCATATACACTGAAGTATACAAGAGTATATACACTGAAGTATACAAGAGTATATACACTGAAGTATACACGAGTATATACACTGGTGTATACAAGAGTATATACACTGAAGTATACACGAGTATATACACTGGTGTATACAAGAGCATATACACTGAAGTATACAAGAGTATATACACTGAAGTATACAAGAGTATATACACTGAAGTATACAAGAGTATATACACTGAAGTATACACGAGTATATACACTGGTGTATACAAGAGTATATACACTGAAGTATACACGAGTATATACACTGGTGTATACAAGAGTATATACACTGAAGTATACAAGAGTATATACACTGAAGTATACAAGAGTATATACACTGAAGTATACAAGAGTATATACACTGAAGTATACAAGAGTATATACACTGAAGTATACAAGAGTATATACACTGAAGTATACAAGAGTATATACACTGGTGTATACAAGAGTATATACACTGGTGTATACAAGAGTATATACACTGAAGTATACAAGAGTATATACACTGAAGTATACAAGAGTATATACACTGAAGTATACAAGAGTATATACACTGAAGTATACAAGAGTATATACACTGAAGTATACACGAATATATACACTGGTGTATACAAGAGTATATACACTGAAGTATACAAGAGTATATACACTGGTGTATACAAGAGTATATACACTGAAGTATATAAGAGTATATACACTGGTGTATACAAGAGTATATACACTGAAGTATACAAGAGTATATACACTGAAGTATACAAGAGTATATACACTGGTGTATACAAGAGTATATACACTGAAGTATACAAGAGTATATACACTGAAGTATACAAGAGTATATACACTGAAGTATACACGAGTATATACACTGGTGTATACAAGAGTATATACACTGAAGTATACAAGAGTATATACACTGGTGTATACAAGAGTATATACACTGGTGTATACAAGAGTATATACACTGAAGTATACAAGAGTATATACACTGAAGTATACAAGAGTATATACACTGAAGTATGCAAGAGTATATACACTGAAGTATGCAAGAGTATATACACTGAAGTATACAAGAGTATATACACTGAAGTATACACGAGTATATACACTGGTGTATACAAGAGTATATACACTGAAGTATACAAGAGTATATACACTGGTGTATACAAGAGTATATACACTGAAGTATACAAGAGTATATACACTGAAGTATGCAAGAGTATATACACTGAAGTATACAAGAGTATATACACTGAAGTATACAAGAGTATATACACTGAAGTATACAAGAGTATATACACTGAAGTATACAAGAGTATATACACTGAAGTATACAAGAGTATATACACTGAAGTATACAAGAGTATATACACTGGTGTATACAAGAGTATATACACTGAAGTATACAAGAGTATATACACTGAAGTATACAAGAGTATATACACTGAAGTATACAAGAGTATATACACTGAAGTATGCAAGAGTATATACACTGAAGTATACAAGAGTATATACACTGAAGTATACAAGAGTATATACGCTGAAGTATACAAGAGTATATACACTGGTGTATACAAGAGTATATACACTGAAGTATACAAGAGTATATACACTGAAGTATACAAGGTATATACACTGAAGTATACAAGAGTATATACACTGAAGTATACAAGAGTATATACACTGGTGTATACAAGAGTATATACACTGAAGTATACAAGAGTATATACACTGAAGTATACAAGAGTATATACACTGAAGTATTCAAGAGTATATACACTGGTGTATACAAGAGTATATACACTGAAGTATACAAGAGTATATACACTGAAGTATACAAGAGTATATACACTGAAGTATACACGAGTATATACACTGAAGTATACAAGAGTATATACACTGAAGTATACACGAGTATATACACTGAAGTATACACGAGTATATACACTGAAGTATACACGAGTATATACACTGAAGTATACACGAGTATATACACTGGTGTATATATAGTCGTGTATTTAGTGAGGTATATACAAATCTACACATTTATAAACAATAATAATAATAATAATAATAATAATAATAATAATAATAATAATAATAATAATAATATACAATAAATATGGAGACAGACACAATAATATAAATTTAAAACAAAGAAAAAAACACCAAAAAACACAGATAAAACACCTGAAATTTGATCGCAAATAAAACATGTGTAACATCCTGGAAGGTATCTTGATGCGAGGAGGCGCGTATATCCCGGGTTGACACTTGTGTAAATTATATACCAGAATATATCCACCTGTGGGTTTTTTAGCGTTTTATTGAAGGAATATTCACCTTAAGGGTGTAGGGGGAAAGCAGGAGCAACAGGGTGTACGTCCGTCCTCCACCCTGGTTACTTCTCCTCTGCCCTTTACAATCAGCTGTTTGGCCTCCCTAGATGTGTTCCAATGTTAATTCTCTAGCAATTTTTACTGAAACGTTTTCTACCATCTCTCTTATTGATTTATACCCTTATAAAAATAATGTGGTAGTATACTGCAGTATTTGCCATGTAATGTATATTTTATTTTGGTCAAATAATCGGGAATTAGAGGAATTAATTACGTATTAAGTATCTCCTCCACGTTATCTATCTCTTTCTTTTTACAAACTTCTGCCATTGCTAAGATAATAAGACAATATTCTACCGTATTTGAGAGGAAATTTACATTTATTTTGTAAGAATAATTGAAAGATACAAATATTTAGAAGGGTTAATTTTACACCTTGAGAATTCTCTCTCATCAAAACAATCTCTCAGATAACATCCAACACAATTCCTTGACTTTGATGCCACATTCTCAAATATTCCCTTTAAATTACACATCCTTATTTAGATCAGTCCCGTATTATATGCAGATTACAGCGGTAATTTACAAAGAAATGAGCATTTTAGCTGAATTAAATACGAGTTGCGTGTAGTTATAGACGCAGAACTATGTATTGAGCTGACCTTCTTATACCTAATTATAGGTTTGACTCAAGACAGCCTCGTTTTCTTTCTTTAAATGTCTAGTTATAGACATTAAAATTAATTTTTTTGTGTTGCTCAATACCGTCAAGGACAAACACTTGCGTTGGATGCATGTGGGATGCCCGTCTTACTCAATACTACGTGTTATTTTCCCGTATTAAGACTTTTTCTGGGCGTCCCAGTTTACCTGGTAGTAAGTAGGTACCTGGGTGTTAGTTACACCTGCTGTCAGTGTTCACCTAGCAGTAAGTAGGTACCTGGGTGTTAGTTACATCTGCTGTCAGTGTTCACCTAGCAGTAAGTAGGTACCTGGGTGTTAGTCACCTTACACCTGCTGTCAGTGTTCACCTAGCAGTAAGTAGGTACCTGGGTGTTAGTTACACCTGCTGTCAGTGTTCACCTAGCAGTAAGTAGGTACCTGGGTGTTAGTTACATCTGCTGTCAGTGTTCACCTAGCAGTAAGTAGGTACCTGGGTGTTAGTTACATCTGCTTTCAGTGTTCACCTAGCAGTAAGTAGGTACCTGGGTGTTAGTTACACCTGCTGTCAGTGTTTACCTAGCAGTAAGTAGGTACCTGGGTGTTAGTTACACCTGCTTTCAGTGTTCATCTAGCAGTAAGTAGGTACCTGGGTGTTAGTTACACCTGCTGTCAGTGTTCACCTAGCAGTAAGTAGGTACCTGGGTGTTAGTTACACCTGCTGTCAGTGTTCACCTAGCAGTAAGTAGGTACCTGGGTGTTAGTTACACCTGCTGTCAGTGTTCATCTAGCAGTAAGTAGGTACCTGGGTGTTAGTTACACCTGCTGTCAGTGTTCACCTAGCAGTAAGTAGGTACCTGGGTGTTAGTTACACCTGCTCTCAGTGTTCACCTAGCAGTAAGTAGGTACCTGGGTGTTAGTTACATCTGCTGTCAGTGTTCACCTAGCAGTAAGTAGGTACCTGGGTGTTAGTTACATCTGCTTTCAGTGTTCACCTAGCAGTAAGTAGGTACCTGGGTGTTAGTTACACCTGCTGTCAGTGTTTACCTAGCAGTAAGTAGGTACCTGGGTGTTAGTTACACCTGCTTTCAGTGTTCACCTAGCAGTAAGTAGGTACCTGGGTGTTAGTTACACCTGCTCTCAGTGTTCACCTAGCAGTAAGTAGGTACCTGGGTGTTAGTTACACCTGCTGTCAGTGTTCATCTAGCAGTAAGTAGGTACCTGGGTGTTAGTTACACCTGCTGTCAGTGTTCACCTAGCAGTCAGTAGGTACCTGGGTGTTAGTGGACTGGTGTGGGTGGCATCCTGGAGGACAAAATCAACCTAAGTTGTGGGAAATGCTCTACATAACCAGGAACTTTCTATATAGTATGTCATTGTTGTGAGCTATGGTCTGTATAAGTTGTACCATCTACTGGTAGAAATAATAATAATAATAATTATTATTATTATTATTATTATTATTATTATTATTATTATTATTATTATTATATAGTATGTCATTGTTGTGAGCTATGGTCTGTACAAGTTGTACCATCTACTGGTAGAAATAATAATAATTATTATTATTATAACTATTGTTCCTGTTCACCTAGCAGTAAGCAGGTACCTGGGTGTTAGTTCACCTTGTACCTATCACCTTCCCACCCCCATCACTCAACAATTGCCACAATCTGTACCTCCTACCCACCCCACCACCCACATACCAGTACCCTCACACAGCCTTCATTCTGACGCTGCGTTGATGCCCATGAAAGAATCTTGTTCCAGGGCGTTGGAGCTGCCCATTTCTCAGCTGTTGTATGAGCCCACGGGCTTAACACTTCAGCTTGGGTATATTCATACACATACACACACATGGTCAAACACGTCAAGAAATTAGAGAAAGTGCAAAGGCTTGCAAAAAAACTAGTCCCAGAGCTAAGAGGTATGTCCTAAAAGGAGAGGTTAAGGGAAATTAACCTGACGACACTGGAGGACAGGAGAGATAGGGGGACATGATAACGACATACAAAATACTGAGAGGAATTGACAAGGTGGACAAAGACAGGATGTTCCAGAGATGGGACACAGCAACAAGGGGACACAGCAACAAGGGGACACAGCAACAAGGGGACACAGCAACAAGGGGATACAGCAACAAGGGGACACAGCAACAAGGGGACAGCGTTGAAAGTTGAAGACACAGATGAATCACAGGGATGTTAGGAAGTATTTCTTCAGTCACAGAGTTGTCAGGAAGTGGAATAGTCTGGGAAGCGATATAGTGGAGGCAGGATCCATACATAGCTTTAAGCAGAGGTATGATAAAGCTCATGGTGCAGGGAGAGTGACCCAGTAGCGACCAGTGAAGAGGCGGGGCCAGGAGCTATGACTCGACCCCTGCAGCCACAACTAAGTGAGTACAACTAGGTGAGTACACACACACACATTGGGGATTACCACATTCCTAACGATATGTGACTAGTAAACAACACTTCGACGTATCTCGCATCTGCTTGACAGTAGAGGATACAAGATTCTGTATGAGGCACAAGTACACTCACACATTAAGTATGCTCCACTACCTTGGATTACCTGCCCACCGTCTCATCTGCGACTTGTTGACAAAGTAGAGAACACGACGACTCATCTCTGGCCTGGACCCAGCCTGGATGGATCTGTCATTTCAGCAGAGTCTTCAACACAGGAGGAATGTGGGCGGCCTTACTGTTATGTACAAGACCAATATTGTCAAAGTACCACACTTGTCTCCACTCCGAGGACAGCGAGAAGACAGCTACTACACCACAAGACGGGCAGTAAGAAGACAGCTACTACACCACAAGACGGGCAGTAAGAAGACAGCTACTACACCACAAGACGGGCAGTAAGAAGACAGCTACTACACCACAAGACGCGCAGTGAGAAGGCAGCTACTACACCACAAGACGGGCAGTGAGAAGGCAGCTACTACACCACAAGACGCGCAGTGAGACAGCAGCTACTACAGCGAGAAGACAGCTACTACACCACAAGACGGGCAGTGAGAAGGCAGCTACTACACCACAAGACATTAGGAGGTGTTTTCTTAAGACACCTGCTGTCACTATTCACCTAGCAGTAAGTAGGTACCTAGTAGGTGCCTGGCATCCTGGGGACTTAATTAATATTAATTAATAACGATAGTATTGTTATTATTAAGTCTGATTAATCTCACATAGGAATTATTACCTCAGGGAATAGAGAAGAATAAATAGAGAGCAGATAAGGGAGAGAGGTCATATTGGCCCATGCTAGGCAGGTCTAACTCCCATTCATATATTCAAAGGCTCTCTGCACAACAACGCTACCTGGCAGCGTCTTCCCACTCATTTACAACTGTATTGCCACTGTTACGGCCTTAGACATCGTCACTGTTATAGCTGTTACGTTACGGTCTCAGACCTCACTGTTACACTGTTATGGCTTCAGGGCATCACTGTTACAGCCTCAAACCTCACTGTTACACTGTTATGGCTTCAGAGCATCACTGTTACAGCCTCAAACCTCACTGTTACACTGTTATGGCTTCAGAGGATCACTGTTACAGCCTCAAACCTCACTGTTACACTGTTATGGCTTTAGGGCATCACTGTTACAGCCTCAAACCTCACTGTTACACTGTTATGGCTTCAGAGCATCACTGTTACAGCCTCAAACCTCACTGTTACACTGTTATGGCTTCAGGGCATCACTGTTACAGCCTCAAACCTCACTGTTACACTGTTATGGCTTCAGGGCATCACTGTTACAGCCTCAAACCTCACTGTTACACTGTTATGGCTTCAGAGCATCACTGTTACAGCCTCAAACCTCACTGTTACACTGTTATGGCTTCAGGGCATCACTGTTACAGCCTCAAACCTCACTGTTACACTGTTATGGCTTCAGAGCATCACTGTTACAGCCTCAACCTCACTGTTACACTGTTATGGCTTCAGGGCATCACTGTTACAGCCTCAAACCTCACTGTTACACTGTTATGGCTTCAGGGCATCACTGTTACAGCCTCAAACCTCACTGTTACACTGTTATGGCTTCAGAGCATCACTGTTACAGCCTCAAACCTCACTGTTACACTGTTATGGCTTCAGGGCATCACTGTTACAGCCTCAAACCTCACTGTTGCACTGTTATGGCTTCAGGGCATCACTGTTACAGCCTCAAACCTCACTGTTACACTGTTATGGCTTCAGGGCATCACTGTTACAGCCGCAAACCTCACTGTTACACTGTTATGGCTTCAGGGCATCACTGTTACAGCCTCAAACCTCACTGTTACAC